GGTGTGCCTGGGACCGGGGAGGTGCAGGGAGGGGTCCCCGGAGCTGGGCCGTGCTGTGCCCCTTGCTGGCACTCAAGGAGTCACCCAGTAGCTTTCGGCTTCTGAGATGCGACTGCTTTGACCCTGTCGGGGATAGGCTGTCCGTGAGCTGGGCGGCACCCCGAGGAGTGGAGTCCACAACAGGGCATTGCCACAGCCCCTGCCCCTGAGGCTTCCCTGGGCGCAGAGTGTGTCCCCCAAGCCCCCGTCTTCCCCGGCAGCCCAGTCTGGAAGCGCAGGTGCGCAACATGGCCATAGCAACAAGGAACACGAAGAAGAACCACGGCCTGTATAGGAATGTCCTGATGCACGGGCCACCAGGCACCGGGAAGACTCTCGTTGCCAAGGTGAGAGCACCTGGCTGCGCAGGTGGGCCAGGGACCGCTGGGGTCTCACCAGCCTGCAGGTGTCTGGGGGGCTCAGTCGCCTGGGGAATGGACTTCTCCTTAGTCCTTTGGCCACCCTCATGTAGGGTCAGCGTGCTGGTGTGGGTAACAGCACCTCCCATCTTCCAGGCAGGGGACATCTCCTGTTTGGTAGGCTGTGGCTTCTAGGCTGTGGCTTCCAGGCTGTGGCTTCCAGGCTGTGGCTTCCAGGCGGGGACGACCGGCAGAGGCTCCACACTCCGGGTGGAGTGTGCAGGCTTTGCCGAGGCAGATGGAACATCTGTTGTGTCTCCCCTCACTCTTCCCGTCTAGAATCTCGCCCTGAACTTGGGCATGGACTACGCCATCATGACAGGTGAGGACCTGGCCCTCATGGGGCGGGAAGGCGTGACTGCCATGCACAAGCTATTTCACTGGGCCAATACCAGGCGGCGCGGGTGAGATGTCCCCACCGCATGCACACAGGCCCTTCACTGCGGCCCAGCAGGCCGCCTTCGGGGAAGGGGGTCCAGGTGGCTTTCCGGGACCTCGTGGTCTTTCTGCAGCTCTGTCCTTGTGGCCATGCAGGAGGCCCGGCGGAGGGTCCCTCGGAGGGAAGGTCCCCTGAGTGTGGACCCTGGTGGACATGAGGCCCCCAGCCTGTGGAGGCTGCCAGTGGGATACTTGGCTCAGGGCAGAAGGGAGGTGGGTGGGTGTAGGGGCAGAGGGGTCTTCACAGCTGCAGGGGCACCACCTCCACAGCCGCCCTCCCTCCGACACGCGTGCAGGTGGGCGTGGGCACCAGCTCCTTTTGGTACAACCATTGGAAGTTAGCTGAAGACAGCATTGCCTATTAAAGTCACACACCGTTTAATAGATTAATAGCTGGGAGACCCTTGCGACCTCAGCTGTCCCGGTTGGCACCACGTTCCTCATGGCTGGCAACCTCCCCTCTGGCCTTTGACCTTTCACTTTAGAAGATCCTGCCCCTGCTGTGGACGCTGAGCGGCCGCCAGCGCTGCACTGGGCCGGGTGGGGGTGAAGCCTGCAGGGCACAGTCTGTCGCCCCTGTGTGCCGTTGGCTTCCCAGGGCCTTGTGAGGCTGGGCCGTGGTCAGCTGCCCAGAGGCCAGGCTGATGGGCTTCTGTCAGACCCAGGACTTAGGGCTCCTGGTGGGGCAGAGGCTGCACCCTGTAGGGATCTGCCCGCTCAGCCTGCTCCCGCCACAGCCGGACACTGCTGTGGGCCGCTCCAGGTGTCACTCTTGCCTTGCTTGGCCTCCCTCTTGTTCACAGCCTCCTGCTCTTCATGGACGACGCGGACGCCTTCCTTTGGAAGCAAGCCACTGTGAGTGTCCCTAAGCCTCTGTCTGACCCCGGGGGTGGTGGGGCAGGTGTGTCCGTCATCCTGGATCAGGCCGCAGCCCGCTGCTCAATTCCTTTTTCTCTAAGTTTTGTGTGAAAAACAGCATTTTTTTGTTTTGTTTTGGTCAGCTTAAAGTTAAGGTTGTTCTTTTGAGGGTCCAGCCTTGGGACAGAGCGAGGCTTCTTCTCAAAAAAACAGCTCACTGTTTGCCTCGACCTTTCAAGCTCAAGCCGTCCTCTTGCCTCAGCCACCTGCGTAGCCAGGACTGCAGGGGCACAGTGCCATGCCCGGCTAATTTTTTTTTTTTGAGATGGAGTTTTGCTCTTGTTGCCCAGGCTGGAGTGCGGTGGTACAATCTTGGCTCACCGCAACCTCCTCCCCCTGGGTTCAACCAATTCTCCTGCCTCAGCCTCCCAAGTAGCTGGGATTACAGTCATGTACCACCACGCCCGGCTCATTTTGTATTTTTTTTAGTAGACAAGGGATTTCTCCATGTCACTCAGGCTAGTCCTAAACTCCTGACCTCAGGTGACCCGCCCACCTCAGCCTCCCAAACTGCTGGGATTACAGGCGTGAGCCACTGTGCCTGGTCCTGGCTAATTTTTTTTTTTTTTTTTTGAGACGGAGCCTGGCTCTGTCGCCCAGGCTAAAATACAGCGGCGCAATCTCAGCTCACTGCAAGCTCCGCCTCCCGGGTTCATGGCATTCTCCTGCCTCAGCCTCCCAAGTAGCTGGGACTACAGGCACCCGCCACCACGCCCGGCTAATTTTGTTTTGTATTTATTAGTAGAGACGGGGTTTCATAGTGTTAGCCAGAATCGCCTCGATCTCCTGACATTGTGATCCGGCCACCTCGGCCTCCCAAAGTGCTGGGATTATAGGTGTGAGCCATCGCGCCCGGCTGTTTTTTCGTAATGTTAGTAGACATGGACTTTCCCCTCGTTACCCAGGCTGGGCTCAAACTTCTGAGCTATCAGAGATGCTCCCACCTTGACCTTGTGAAGTTCTGGGATTACAGACGTGAGCCCCCATGCCCAGTCAGGGGTTTTTTTGTTTTTGTTTTTGTTTTTGTTTTTGATACAGAGTCACACTCTGTCGCCCATGCTGGAGTGCATCGGTGCGATTTCGGCTCGCTGCAACCTTTGCCTCTCAGGTTGAAGTGATTATCCTGCTTCAGCCTCCCACGTAGCTGGGACCACAGTTGTGCCACCAAGCCTGGCTGATTTTTGTATTTTTAGTTTAGACGGGGTCTCACCATGTTGGCCAGGATGTTCTCAAACTCCCTACCTCAGGTGATCTGCCCGCCTCGGCCTCCCAAAATACTACGTTACATGCATGAGCCACCGTCCCTGGCCCTGGTCAGGCTTTTGAGTTTAGATCCATGAAAGTGTGGCCACGTCCCTGCTCCCTGCAGGAGGGAGGCCTGTGGGACCTTCTGCTGTGGCTGTTTACAACGCTTTGCTCCTGGTGCCTAAGGCTTGAACCTTCTCTCTGCAGGAGGAGATAAACGAGGACCTCAAAGCCACCCAGAACGCCTTCCTAAACCACATGAAGGAGCGCAGCAACAAGTGAGGGAGCCCCTCGGGTCCTGGGCCCCCGGGTAGGGCTTTGCAGCCATCGCCCTTGGTTCCCACCGAGGGACCTCAGGGGCCCTGGATCACAGTGCTGGGCAGCACCCATGGCCTCAACATGCCCACCTTGGATGTCCCCTGGGAACGGCCCAGCTCGGGACAGTGTGGGGTATCACTCAGGAACATGCGGGGGCCTCCTGGCCAGAGCCGGGGTCAGTCCTGTCCTCACTTCCCTGTGCGATGCCGCCCCAGCTTGCAGGTCCCTGTGCCCCTGGGTTTCCGTGGTCCTGTGCCGGCAAGGGAGGCGGTCTGATCGCCTGAGGCTCTGCTGGGGCCTCCCTTGGAGGGTGTGGGTGCTCTGGGGTGGGAGATGGAGACACGTTTGCTCCCACGGGAAGCTGGGCACGAGCAGGTCCTGTGGGTTTGGGCAGAGCCTGGGGCCTTGGCTCCCCGCCCAGATGTTGGACAGGAGTGCTCCCTCCAGGTTAGGGGCCCTCCCCACATTGTGCGTCCTCCGTGAGCTGCTGCCCAGAGGTCCCCAGTAGGTGGATGGCCCCATGGCCAGGCTCCCTAGCCCCTCCCAAATCCCCTAAGTTTGAGTTTTCTTGGTCTCCTGGGCCCCTCCAGCCCCAGTCACATGTCACACGGAGGATCAAGTCCTGCCAGGCGGCCATGGCCGACTCCTCAGGCGTGTTGGGCTCCCTGGCTCAGCCGCTGCCGGTAGACGCTCCCTGGAGCCCTGGCTCAGGTCCTTCCCAGAGAGGCAGGGCTGAGGCCCTGCTGAGCCTCCGCTGCACCCGAGCCCCCGAGGTCCTGCTCCTGGCTGGCGTGGCCACTCTTGACATGGACTCTGGGTGCCGCATCCCTGCTCCCAGCACGGCAGGGCTCAGGCAGCAGGAGGAGTGGTGGTCCAGGCACTGCCTATCACGCTGGGCGAGTGTCAGCAGGGAAGCGCCACACGGGATGAGAACAGAGGCTCCGGCAGCCGGGCGGGGGGACAGCTGGGCGTGGTGGGGCAGGCGGTGACCAAGGCTGTGCCGCATCCTCCCGGTGTTTCCTGTGCTCACAAGCTGCCGCTTTAGATTCTCCCGGAAAGTCCCCCTGGGGGGACTAAGGAGCCCGTGGTCTCCTCGGGGCAGTTTGGCCGGCATCCCCAGCATTTCCTTCCCCATCCCTGCTCCGCAGATTCATGCTGGTCCTGACCAGCCGCCACCCCGAGCAGTTACATCGGGACATCCATGACCGCATCGATGTCATGGTTCACTTCGACCTGCCCAGGCTGGAGGAGCGGGAGCGCCTGGTGAGAATGTATCTTGACAAGTATGTTCTTATCCCGGCAACAGAAGGAAAACAGTAAGTGTCTCGCCTTACCCACCCCTGTCCAGGGACCCTCGCTCAGGGCCCACCCCCGGCCCTGCTCTCCAGACGATCCCAGCAGGCCCAGTCTCCGGGGTGGCACCGCCTCCCTGTCCTGCGGTTTTGAGCAGGAGCCCTGTGGGCCCCAAGGGTCCCAGAGGCCGCACTCAGGGAGGTGCCACCACCCTTTCCTCATCCCCACCTGAGAACAGCCTGGTGGCGTCTCCTCGGGTTTGGGGGGCAGAGCCCACCATCACTTACAAACCTTCCACTTTTTTTTTTTGAGACAGTCTCGCTCTGTGCCCCAGGCTGGAGTGCAGTGGCACGATCTCAGCTGACTGCAACCTCTGCCTCCTGGGTTCACGCGATTCGCCTGCCTCAGCCTCCTGAGTAGCTGCGATTATAGGTGCCTGCCACCACACCCTACTACTTTTTGCATTTTTGTAGAGATGCAGTTTCACCATGTTGGCCAGGCTGGTCTCGAAACCCTGACCTCAGGTGATCTGCCCGCCTTGGCCTCCCACAGTGCAGGGATTACAGACGCCAGCCACTGTCGTGCATGAGCCACCGCCCCTGGCTCTGGTCAGGCTTTTGAGTTTAGATCCATGAAAGTGTCGCCGCGTTCCTGCTCCCTGCAGGAGGGAGGCCTGTGGGACCTTCTGCTGTGGCTGTTTACAGGGCTTTGTTCCAGGTGTCTAAGGCTGGAACCTTCTCTCTGCAGGAGAAGATGAGCAATTACTACCTCAGAGTCGCCCAGAACGCCTTCCTAAACCACACGAAGGAGCGCAGCAACAAGTGAGGGGGCACCTTGGGTCCTGGGCCCCCAGGTAGCGCTGCGCAGCTGTCACCCTTCGTTCCCACCGAGGGACCTCAGGGGCCCTGGATCACAGTGCTGCGCAGCACCCGTGGCCTCAACGTGTCCACCTCGGATGTCCCCTGGGAACGGCCCAGCTCGGGACAGCATGGGGCGTCACTGAGGAACATGCGGTGGCCTCCTGGGCAGAGCCGGGGTCAGTCCTGTCCTCACGCCCTGTGCGATGCCGCCCCAGCTTGCAGGTCCCTCTGCCCCTAGGTTTCCGTGGTCCTGTGCCTGCAAGGGAGGCGGTCTGATCGTCTGAGGCTCTGCTGGGGCCTCCCTTGGAGGATGTGGGTGCCCTGGTGTGGGAGATGGAGACATGTTTGTTCACACGGGAAGCTGGGCACGAGCAGGTCTTGTGTGTTTGGGCGGAGCCTGGGGCCTTGGCCCCCCGACCCAGATGCTGGACAGGGGTGCACCCTCCAGGCTAGGGGCCCTCCCCACATTGTGCGTCCTCCGTGAGCTGCTGCCCAGAGGTCCCCAGTAGGGTGATCGCCCCATGGCCAGGCTCCCTAACCCCTCCCAAATCCCCTAAGTTTGAGTTTTTTAGTCTCCTGGGCCCCTCCAGCCCCAGTCACGTGTCACACGGAGGATGAAGTCGTGCTGGGCGGCCGTGGCCGACTCCTCAGGCGTATTGGACTCCCTGGCTCAGCTGCTGCTGGTACAAGCTCCCTGGAGCTGGCTCAGGTCCTCCCCAGAGAGACAGAGCCGGGGCCCTGCTGAGCCTCCGCTGCACCTGGGTCCCCGAGGTCCTGCTCCTGGCTCGCATGGCCATATTTTTGACTTTGACTCTGGGTCCCACATCCCTGCTCCCAGCACGGCAGGGCTCAGGCAGCAGGAGGAGTGGTGGTCCTGGCACTGCCAATCTGGCTGGGTGAGGGTCAGCGGGGAAGCGCTACACGGGATGAGAACAGAGGCCCAGGTAGCCGGGCGGGGGGACAGCTGGGCGTGGTGGGGCAGGCAGGCGGTGACCAAGGCTGTGCCGCGTCCTCCCGCTGTTTCCGGTGCTCATAAGCTGTCACTTTAAATTCTCCTGGAAAGTCCCCCTGAGGGGGCTGAGGAGCCCCCGTTTCCCTCGGGGCAGCTCCACCGGCAGCCCCAGTGTCCTCATCCCCACTCCGCAGATTCATGCTGGTCCTGGCCAGCCACCACCCTGAGCAGTTACACTGGGACATCCATGACTGCATCGACTTGATGGTTCACTTCGACCTGCCACGGCAGGAGGAGCGGGAGCGCCTAGTGAGAATGTATCTCGACAAGTATGTTCTTAAACCGGCCACAGAAGGAAAGCAGTAAGTGTCCCGCCTCACCTGCCCCCTGTCCAGGGACCCTCGCTCAGGGCCCACCCGCCCCTGCTCTCCAGAGGCTCCCAGCAAGCCCTGTCTCCGGGCTGGCACCACCTCCCTGCCCTGCGGTTTCGCGCAGGAGCCCTATGGGTCCCGAGGCTGCACCCAGGGAGGTCCCGCCACCCTTTCCTCATCCCCACCTGAGAACAGCCTGGTGGTGTCTCCTCGGGTTTGGGGGGCAGAG